GGTGATTGACATTATTCACCCACGGATCTATGGGTTGGGGTATTGTTCCGCACGGACATTTTATGGCGGGTTTCCACTACACGGCCTCGCTCGGCCCCGCTCGGTATGGCTAGGCCTCGTTAGGACTGGCTCACTTTATGGCGCATTTCCATTACAGTTTAGGAACTGGGGTAGTATCTATAGTAACGCAGTGTAGGCGGAGCCGTGACGTCATATTCAATGAGAACCCCAGAAAAACAACACAGCCGTTAGCTGTTAGCACTCAGAGCTCACAGCTCCTCATATATGTTCAGAAACTAGACAAAAGTGAAACAAGTACAAACCACAGACTGCCTGTGTCATGGCGAATACAGTCGCTGCTTTATTTATGTCTGTATAGGCCGTTGTTGTGAGTGTGGACGGTCGGAGCATATACTGCGTTAGCTTAGCCAATCTCCATTTAGAAAACACGCATTTTAAAAGGTGTTTCTCCTGCCGCCTGTCTGCAGACTTGTCAAAGCATTAATTCATGGTTTTTACTAACCGGTATCAGTATGTTGTTACTTCGGCATCATTTTGAAACGTGTATTACAATTAAATCACGGTCAAATATGTCCATCTTGTTGTAGTTGTAGCCCCCTTGCCAGCGATGCTCTCTCTAGTTTAGCATACTCAGCCCGACTCAGCCTCGTTGTCTCTGGCCCTAGACCCACGATTTTATGAGGCCAGAAAAACTGTGAATTAGGACCCGCCGGCCGGTACTAGGCCAAGTGGAAACGCAACCAAAGACGGGCCGCTGACGTCACAGCCCTCTTAAACCGTGCTCCGCGCTGTAGTGGAAACGCGCCATTAGTGAACCAGACCAGCTGTTTCCGCCGGTCTTCGCTTCCCGGGCATGAAGTTGTTTACATGTGTGTTCAGATGCTAAATAAAAGTTTAGCTTGTACTTTTGATACCCCGCCTCCGACTGCCGTCTCTCGGCACCACAACATCCAGTTTACTGTATCGAAGTTGATTTCACATGAGCTCCAGTGTGGAACCCCACTGCACCCCCTGGTGGATCAATGATCCATTGCAGCTGGCTTCACAATAATTACATTTATTTATCACGGGGGCGGTATCAAGTCAGACTGGGGGCCGGCTCTTCATCACGAACCGATCACGGGCCGATCACGGACCAATCACGGACCAATCACGACCCTCGCGTTTCAAACTGTCTGAAATAAGATGCTCCATCTGTAAATAGGAAGGATTTGGACCATAGGGGAAATAAGGTTTTGTCTTAATTTTGAGATTTTTGAGAAAAAGTCATAATTTTTAGAAAAAGTCATAGTTTTAAGAAAAAGTCATCATTTTTAGAAAAAGTCATAATTTCTAGAAAAAATCATAATTTTAAGAAAAAGTCATCATTTTTAGAAGAAATCTGATTTTGGAGAACAACTCAGATTTTGGAGATTTTTAGAAAGTTAGAATTTTTAGATTTTGAGAAAAAGTCAAAATATTTGAGAAAAAGTCAGAATTTTTGAGAAAAAGTCAGAATTTTTGAGAAAAAATCAGAATTTTTGAGAAAAAGTCAGAACTTTTGAGAAAAACGGACTTTTGAGATTTTTGCAAAAAAGTCTGAATTTTGTGATTTTTGAGAAAAAGTCAGATTTTTGAGAAAAAGTCACAATTTTGGGATTTTTAGAATTCTCTTGAGAAAAAAGCCAACATTTTGGAAAAAAAGTCAGTATTTTGTACATGACAGGATGTATGATTACCTAGAAGAGCATCAGGACTGTTTGAGGCATATGATAGCTATGTGATTAACATGATGATTCAGCCTCTATGGAGATAGACATATATCAAGCATGCTCATTTCTGACGTGGAGCTAATCTGAAGTAAACATTGAATACTGCTTTCTATTCCTCCATCTTGTGACTGTGTAACTCCCTCTCTTGGATATCAGCATGTGAAGGACACTGTTCAGGAACTAGTTGATGCTCTGTATGTGATGACTCCTTCCATTCTGGAGAGGATCACAAACACACCCTTTTACCCCGGGGGATACCACGGAGAGACCGGAGCGCTTCCACGCTGCTGCTTTCGCCTGTCCTTTGCTGCTGTGAGGAGGAGGATTTTTGCCCCAGGAACATCGCGAATACTGTGTGCTGGTCTGGGAAAATGGCCCATATCGTGATTCTGCTGTGCCTGTTAACTGTTCTGGACTATGAGAAGATCTCTAGTCATCCTGAAAAGCCTACTGGATTCAGGTCTGTTCTGCCACCCGCAGTGGGCATCCCCTGCAAAGGGTCGGATGTGTTACACAAACAGTTACCGGTTGCCTTGTCGCAGACAATCTGCTCGACAAAATATGTTTGTCTTTTTTGTTTGCCTGCGATGATGGTACTTCAGGACTGCTTCTTGAACTCTAATCAAACTCTCACAGACTTTTCCGGTGATTCTAAAGTAGATGACAATGTGTGTGTGTCGTTTAAGAGGAAAAGATGCCTGTTTTTTTTGTTGTTATTACTGTCAGGAAATGTCCAACCTAACCCTGGTCCGCCCAGTAGCAGTACATGGTGGTGGGCTGTTACAGACCCCCCTCAGCTGTCAAGGACTCCTTGTCTTCACTAGCAAATCTTTTATCACAACTAGACTACAAGGAAATAGTGCTACTTGGAGATTTGAACTGGGACTGGTTAACTGCAGTATCAGAGGATTTTAAAAACCTTTGTATCTCTCTGAATGTTACTCAGATTGTTGACAGTCCTACTCGCCCTAACATTAAGTCCCCTAATAAATCCTCCCTAATTGATCTCATTCTAACTAATGTTCCCTATAAATACTCATCTGTGGGAGTCTTTGTGAATGATGTGAGAGACCACTGTGCTGTAGACACAATTAGGGACACTAAGGTCCAAAAGGTTAAACCCCGTATTATTATTAAGAGACACATAAAACATTTTGTTCATGATCTGTTTGGGTTTGATTGGGGAAAAATCGATCTGTGTGCTGATGTAGAACTGCATGGTCTTATTTTTATCTTGGTTTTATGGAGATTATTGATAGACATGCACCCCTACGTACTTTTAGAGTAAAGGGACGAGACAATCCTTGGTTTCCTGCTGAACTGTCCAGTCTCCTGCATGAGAGAAACAAGGCCTGGGCAAAGGCTAGGAAATCAGGCTCAGAGGTAGAATGGCTGCGTTTTAGGCAGCTAAGAAATAGCTTCACTTCACATGTCAAAAGTGCTAAGTCTAAGTACTATCTGTCAGTTACCACAGAAAACCTGAATAATCCTAGAACATTTTGGAAAGCCATAAAATCGATATCCACCGGTGAGATCCGTAATGAGCTACCTCCGTGCCTTACCACAGCATCTGGCTCTATATCGGACAGGGCCACCATGTTACATTGTTTTAATGAGCATTTTGTGTCCTGTGGCTCTCTGTTTGATTCTGTCACTAACTCTGCTTCTGTGAACACCACAGTCTGTGACTCTGAACAATGTGCTCTGGAAAACCCTTTCAGTTTTACTCCTTTTACTGTTAATGTTGTTCATGAAGCTTTAACCAAGTTAGATCCTAAGAAACCGGCCGGCCCGGACAACGTAGAGCCTTTCTTTTTAAAGATAGCTGCAGATTTTATTGCTCCACCTCTCACTACTCTTTTTAACCTCTCCCTCAGCACAAACACAATTCCTAAAGTATGGAAGTCAGCGTATGTCCTGCCTTTGCTGAAAGGAGGGGAGGCAACTGTTTTAAATAACTATAGACCAATCTCTAAATGGTCAGTTCTGGCTAAGGTTCTTGAACGCCTAGTGAGTGAGCAGGTAAAGGAGTTTCTATGTAACAATGACATCCTGTCTAAACATCAGTCAGGCTTCAGAAAGCAACATAGCACCATCACTGCCACAATGAAAGTGGTGAATGATGTGGCGAGTATTTTAGATAATAAGCAGAGTTGTGCAGCTCTATTTATTGACCTTTCCAAAGCGTTTGATACCGTCGATCATCACATCTTAAAGCAGAGGCTACTCAGTATTGGCTTATCCAGTCATGCAGTGGGTGGTTTGTGAACTACCTCTCTGAAAGGTCCCAATGTGTTCACTTTGATGGGCTGTCTTCTGAGTGGTTGAACATTGCTAATGGTGTTCCTCAAGGTTCTGTTTCAGTCCACTTTTATTCTCCATCTACATCAATAGTTTAGGTGAAAATGTGGATGAAGCTACTTTACATTTTTATGCGGATGACACCGTGATGTACTGTGCAGGTCCCTCCATTAAGGAGGCTGGTGTTAAATTACAGGCTGTTTTTAACATTATTCAGACTCAGCTCTCTGAACTTAAGCTTCTTTTAAATGTTGATAAAACCAAGGTAATGCTCTTTTCTAAAGCTAAAAAGACTCCAGAGACTGTTTTAGATATTGTTACTATGCAAGGACAAGTACTCCAAGTGGTTAGCTGTTATAAATACCTTGGTATCTGGCTTGATGATTGTCTTACTTTTAAACTTCAGGTCATTAATCTGCTTAGAAAGCTGAGGGTTAGATTAGGTTTCTTTTTCAGAAACAAGTCCTGTTTCTCACTTGAGGCCAGGAAAAGGCTCTGTGACCTTTTGGCAAGTAGCTATTGCCTGAGATCCCAGGATGTGTTTTTATTACATGTGCCAAGTGCTAGGACTGTTTTAGGTGCTGAAGCTTTTATGTGCGCTGCTCCTCTAGCTTGGAACACCATGCAACACACATTGAAACTGAGCATTTTGATTCCCTTGCATCATTTTAAAGCACGGCTGGATGAAATGTTATTGGATACCTGTCACTGTGAATAGGTGCTAATGTATACCCCTGTAATTATGTTGTGATGTCCTTTTTGTTTTCTGTTGTTTTATGTGTAACTAATGTACCGCAGGTCTCCCTTGAAAAAGAGATCGTTGATCTCAATGGGATTCACCTGGATAAATAAAGGCTACAAACAAACAAACATGGATCCTGAGATTGAAGCTCAAGACGGTGTTAGTGATGTTTTCCTAACTCTTACCCAGGAGCACCATGCTGTCCAGCTGCTCTCTGCTCAGCGTCAGGTCCTCCTCTGGGCTGAACTTCCCCCCCGACAGCCTCAGGACCTCCAGGACCTCCTGCCGGACGGCCTCCAGCGCCTCGGGGTCCCTCAGCAGGAAGTAGAGCACCCAGAAGCAGGCGGGCACCGTGTTGCCCACCGACGCCCAGAGGATGGCAAAGTGATGGGCTAAAGCAGAGCAAAGGTCATCAGTACAGTGGTCTGTTTCCAGAGTACTGAGCTCAGGTCTGTTTCCAGAGTACTGAGCTCAGGTCTGTGTCCAGAGTACTGAGCTCAGGTCTGTTTCCAGAGTACTGAGCTCAGGTCTGTTTCCAGAGTACTGAGCTCAGGTCTGTTTCCAGAGTACTGAGCTCAGGTCTGTTTCCAGAGGACTGAGCTCAGGTCTGTTTCCAGAGTACTGAGCTCAGGTCTGTTTCCAGAGTACTGAGCTCAGGTCTGTTTCCAGAGTACTGAGCTCAGGTCTGTTTCCAGAGTACTGAGCTCAGGTCTGTTTCCAGAGGACTGAGCTCAGGTCTGTTTCCAGAGTACTGAGCTCAGGTCTGTTTCCAGAGTACTGAGCTCAGGTCTGTTTCCAGAGGACTGAGCTCAGGTCTGTTTCCAGAGTACTGAGCTCAGGTCTGTTTCCAGAGTACTGAGCTCAGGTCTGTTTCCAGAGTACTGAGCTCAGGTCTGTGTCCAGAGTACTGAGCTCAGGTCTGTTACCAGAGGACTGAGCTCAGGTCTGTTTCCAGAGTACTGAGCTCAGGTCTGTTTCCAGAGGACTGAGCTCAGGTCTGTTTCCAGAGTACTGAGCTCAGGTCTGTTTCCAGAGTACTGAGCTCAGGTCTGTTTCCAGAGTACTGAGCTCAGGTCTGTTTCCAGAGGACTGAGCTCAGGTCTGTTTCCAGAGTACTGAGCTCAGGTCTGTTTCCAGAGTACTGAGCTCAGGTCTGTTTCCAGAGTACTGAGCTCAGGTCTGTTTCCAGAGTACTGAGCTCAGGTCTGTTTCCAGAGTACTGAGCTCAGGTCTGTTTCCAGAGTACTGAGCTCAGGTCTGTTTCCAGAGGACTGAGCTCAGGTCTGTTTCCAGAGTACTGAGCTCAGGTCTGTTTCCAGAGTACTGAGCTCAGGTCTGTTTCCAGAGTACTGAGCTCAGGTCTGTTTCCAGAGTACTGAGCTCAGGTCTGTTTCCAGAGTACTGAGCTCAGGTCTGTTTCCAGAGGACTGAGCTCAGGTCTGTTTCCAGAGTACTGAGCTCAGGTCTGTTTCCAGAGTACTGAGCTCAGGTCTGTTTCCAGAGTACTGAGCTCAGGTCTGTTTCCAGAGGACTGAGCTCAGGTCTGTGTCCAGAGTACTGAGCTCAGGTCTGTTTCCAGAGGACTGAGCTCAGGTCTGTTTCCAGAGTACTGAGCTCAGGTCTGTTTCCAGAGTACTGAGCTCAGGTCTGTTTCCAGAGGACTGAGCTCAGGTCTGTTTCCAGAGTACTGAGCTCAGGTCTGTGTCCAGAGTACTGAGCTCAGGTCTGTTTCCAGAGGACTGAGCTCAGGTCTGTGTCCAGAGTACTGAGCTCAGGTCTGTTTCCAGAGGACTGAGCTCAGGTCTGTTTCCAGAGGACTGAGTTCAGGTCTGTTTCCAGAGGACTGAGCTCAGGTCTGTTTCCAGAGTACTGAGCTCAGGTCTGTTTCCAGAGTACTGAGCTCAGGTCTGAGTTTTAACATGAGCTTTTTTGTTTTGTTTTAATGTTCTGTTTTGTGTTTTTTATTAAGATTTCCAGTACTGTATGTTGCATGTTTTTATTTGATAGTATTTCATTGTTTAAAATGAAATGTGTCTTTAGGTTGACTGATCTGTTCGGGGACTACAGATGAAAAATAGCCTCGTGGCTAACTCTGGATTAATGTGCACTGTCCCTGTTAAAGGTCTCAGATAAGACATGTCTCTGAAGTGTCCTGCTCCAGACCCCAAACAGATCCTTGTAGCCACCCCCCCCTCTCTTCCAGCTGTTACTAAGGACATGTCTCTGAAGTGTCCTGCTCCAAACCCCAAACAGACCCTTGTAGCCCCCTCTCCCTCTCTCCCAGCTGTTACTAAGGACATGTCTCTGAAGTGTCCTGCTCCAAACAGATCCTTGTAGCCCCCCCCCTCTCTTCCAGCTGTTACTAAGGACATGTCTCTGAAGTGTCCTGCTCCAGACCCCAAACAGATCCTTGTAGCCACCCCCCCCCTCTCTTCCAGCTGTTACTAAGGACATGTCTCTGAAGTGTCCTGCTCCAAACCCCAAACAGACCCTTGTAGCCCCCTCTCCCTCTCTCCCAGCTGTTACTAAGGACATGTCTCTGAAGTGTCCTGCTCCAAACAGATCCTTGTAGCCCCCCCCCCTCTCTTCCAGCTGTTACTAAGGACATGTCTCTGAAGTGTCCTGCTCCAAACCCCAAACAGATCCTTGTAGCCCCCCCCCCCTCTCTTCCAGCTGTTACTAAGGACATGTCTCTGAAGTGTCCTGCTCCAAACCCCAAACAGATCCTTGTAGCCCCCCCCCCTCTCTTCCAGCTGTTACTAAGGACATGTCTCTGAAGTGTCCTGCTCCAAACCCCAAACAGATCCTTGTAGCCCCCCCTCTCTCTCTCTTCCAGCTGTTACTAAGGACATGTCTCTGAAGTGTCCTGCTCCAAACCCCAAACAGATCCTTGTAGCCCCCCCCCCTCTCTCCCAGCTGTTACTAAGGACATGTCTCTGAAGTGTCCTGCTCCAAACCCCAAACAGATCCTTGTAGCCCCCCCCCCCCTCTCTCCCAGCTGTTACTAAGGACATGTCTCTGAAGTGTCCTGCTCCAATCCCCAAACAGATCCTTGTAGCCCCCCCCCCTCTCTTCCAGCTGTTACTAAGGACATGTCTCTGAAGTGTCCTGCTCCAAACCCCAAACAGATCCTTGTAGCCCCCTCTCCCTCTCTCCCAGCTGTTACTAAGGACATGTCTCTGAAGTGTCCTGCTCCAAACCCCAAACAGATCCTTGTAGCCCCCCCCCTCTCTTCCAGCTGTTACTAAGGACATGTCTCTGAAGTGTCCTGCTCCAAACCCCAAACAGATCCTTGTAGCCCCCCCCCCTCTCTTCCAGCTGTTACTAAGGACATGTCTCTGAAGTGTCCTGCTCCAAACCCCAAACAGATCCTTGTAGCCCCCCCCCCCTCTCTTCCAGCTGTTACTAAGGACATGTCTCTGAAGTGTCCTGCTCCAAACCCCAAACAGATCCTTGTAGCCCCCCCCCCCCCTCTCTCTCATCAGGAGAACTCTCCCAGCAGAAACTCAGCTAAATGCTGCCGTGACTAAACTCCATATCCTGTTCCAAACCACATGAAGGATTCTCTCTGAAACAGCATGGAGCTCAAACTCTTTCTCTCTCTCAGGTTTACCACAAGGTGACTTCCTTTTGATTTCCTGCTTCTTCACACATGCTCTCTCCAGTACAGGTTAGCTCTGAGTGTTAGCATGCTAATGTAAACACAGACCATATTACTTCCAGAACACGTCTTATTGTTTCTGACAGCAACCTTTCTGATTGGCCCGTGGGTGTAAAGCCCGCCCACATTTTAGTAATGTGGTCATGACGCAGCAAATCTGGATCAGCTCCGTTGTTCCCCCGTTTTTAGAGATGTGGGTACGGAGGAAAAGAGAGAGGGGTTTATTTCCTGACACTTTGAGAGTCTCTTGAAACACCGGGGACACACCGGGTACACACCGGGGACACACCGGGGACACACCGGGGACACACCGGGGACACATAGTGATGTAGAGAAGACATCAGAGAGTGACTTTGCATGATAGGAGACCTTTAAGTCTCAGGTATCCTCAGATGAAACATACCTCCTTTATCGGTGTCCCTCAGCGAGGCGTGTTGATCCAGAAGCTGTGATCGGGTCTTGATCAGCTGAGAAGTTCCCGTCCAGCTCGACACCCTGACCGGCAGGAAGCGATTGATCAGTTTGCTCCGGACCGCCCGGGTTCTGCCCAGCAGGCCGATGGGAACCTGGGCGATGAGCAGTGGGAACATGAACACTATTACATGATATTATGATCTCCCACCTGGGCGATGAGCAGTGGGAACATGGACACTATTACATGATATTATGATCTCCCACCTGGGCGATGAGCAGTGGGAACATGGACACTATTACATGATATTATGATCTCCCACCTGGGCGATGAGCAGTGGGAACATGGACACTATTACATGATATTATGATCTCCCCACCTGGGCGATGAGCAGTGGGAACATGGACACTATTACATGATATTATGATCTCCCACCTGGGCGATGAGCAGTGGGAACATGGACACTATTACATGATATTATGATCTCCCACCTGGGCGATGAGCAGTGGGAACATGGACACTATTACATGATATTATGATCTCCCACCTGGGCGATGAGCAGTGGGAACATGGACACTATTACATGATATTATGATCTCCCCACCTGGGCGATGAGCAGTGGGAACATGGACACTATTACATGATATTATGATCTCCCACCTGGGCGATGAGCAGTGGGAACATGGACACTATTACATGATATTATGATCTCCCACCTGGGCGATGAGCAGTGGGAACATGGACACTATTACATGATATTATGATCTCCCACCTGGGCGATGAGCAGTGGGAACATGAACACTATTACATGATATTATGATCTCCCACCTGGGCGATGAGCAGTGGGAACATGCGGTCGAATCTCTGGAAATCTTCTCTCATGTCTTCCATTCCTTCGTGTCGCCTCCCTCTTTCCGGACCTCCAAAAATCGTTAAAAACGTGGCTTCGAACATCACGCTGTTGCAGAAGTCGAACATGCTGCCGCTCTTCCATCCTCCCCCCCCCGTGCACAGGTGATCCTGCCTCAGCACCAACATCAGATTACCCATCATGCTCTCTGTCAGCGTGCCCAGGTGCTCTCCCTGCATCAGCTGGAAGGAGCGGTTGATCT